AGGGAGAGGCACAGTTACAAGTATACTTAACAAATTCTTTTCAATAAAAACTATTTATAACTCCAATCCAGTCAAATGAAATAAACCACATGTTTAGGGTTTCTTTTCTTCAAAGGAAGTACTAATGCACATAAGCTTCTTTAGTGCATGCCTGTGGGGACTTTGTTAGGACCATGCTCTGTCAGGCCAGCATCATCCTAGCACGATTCCAGTCTTAAGCACCTCACACCTCCAGGATTTACGAGGATTCCACAACTAGTTCAGACCCGTGCTGTCCAGCACTTCAGGGCAGTTGGTCTTCAATGTATCCAGGGGTCTTTGGGGGAGCAGGGTATCTCAAGACCCTTTCAGAGGATCTAGAAGATTATTGTCATAAAATACCACTGGGTTTGTGTTTTTTGTTGCTTTGTGCTTTGCCTTTCTCACAGCGTTGACATTTGCATAAAACAGTGACAACTGCTCATCCCTTGGCCTGAACCAAGGCTCCCCTGCAGCTGGTCCTTATATTCACCACTGCCATCTTGTCTCATTAAACAAGGCCAGATTTACTGAAAATGCCCCAAGAGAAGCAGTAAAGGTATTGATTTTAGTAAATTTCAGTCTTTGGGTGCATACCATTAGCACTTCGGGGAACATTGAGGTGCGGGGGCTGTTATGAGGAAGCACGTGTGTGGCTGACTCCAGGAGTGGCAAGGTGAGCTTCTGCATAGACCGCTATTTTCATCACAAATAATAGCTGACAGACACACCATGGCACTCAGATGTAACACTTGGCAGATGGCTCCTCAAGAATGGATAAAGTGAGTCTGTCGCTTCGCAGAACACAATAGACAGAGTTTGTTGTCATTAATAAAACTTGAGACTCCAAATAAAAATTGAAATTTTAGAAATTTTGTATTTGACACTGTGAACCTTAGGTTTTCCAATACTGTAAGATTTTTCTAGCCAGACACAGTGACACATGCCTATAGTTCCAGCACTTAAGAGACGGAGGCAGATTACCTTAAGTTCAAGGCCAACCTTGGCTACTAGTGACTTCAAAGCCAGCCTGAACTACATAGTGAGGCCCTGCCTCAAAATAATTTCTTTTTTTCCCAATGGGATTGGTGACAATATGATTGAAAAATGAAATCTGAATAAAATAATCTGATTTTAAAAATGTTATGTATGTAATGGTTCAACACTTGGAAAATCTACAGAACTAGTGAACCATTGTTTTTCCAAGTGACCATTCCATGGCATTACATAATTACATTTGGATAAAAGATCCATTCAAAGTGCAGAACAGACGGATGGATTTTAGCGGGACAGTATGAAAAGTTAATTGACACACTCTCAGATCCCTACTACAGCTAACCTCTGAGTAACTACTGCTTGTCAAACTCTGATGCAACATCAAAGAAGAAAATGCACAATTTTCTTTCAAAGTAAATGTTCCCTCCTTTCCCAACTGTGTGTCTGTGTGGAGCTGGAGAATATATACTTCAAAAACATTTTGCCACAGATTGGAAGCAGATGCACATATGCTCCATAAAGTCAGACATTAAAGAGATTTGCAGAGCTGTGTTTAAAAACGCCAGTCTTCTCCCTGTTCTTCATCTTGGAAAATTCATTTTTTGAAGAAAAAAAATAAGTTGTTTATGTGAGCAAGTAATTTTTTTATGGAGGTGGGGTACTGGGAACTGAACCTCTAACACTGAACTATATGCCTACCCTTTTTAAATTTTTAAAATTGTGAGACAGGGTCTTATTAAAGTGTCCAGGCTAGCCTGGACAGATTTACAGATTTGCAGTCCTCTCTGCCTCAGCCTCCTGAGCAGCTAAAATTACACTGTACTCAGCTTTACTTCTAAAGTTCTAAATATGTAATAATATTATTTAAATATTCAACTATTTCAACATATTTAACTTTTAAATGTTTAAAGGGATCTCCAGATCCCCCACCCACCTAAAATGTGTTTGTGTGTGTGTGTGTGTGTGTGTGTGTGTGTGTGTGTGTGTTCATGCTGTAGGGAAGGGAATCTGCGAATGGGGTAAGAGGCTGCAGGGAGAGAATTAAGCCAGGAAATTAGAAACATTCCCTCTGCCATAGTTTCTCAACTTGTGAATTGCAACAATCTAGCCATCACAAGGCAGGCCTTTGTGAGTCATGTGTGCTAACCCTGTTTAATGTCCTTACTGAGTTCTTCAATGTGGCTCTTTGAAAAACACATTAGCAAAAGCTGAGGTTTGAACCAGAGCCACGCCCCAGAGTCCACCAGGGACAGGGCGTTCTTTCCCTAGTTCTAGGTGAAGTGGGCAGATGGCGCGAATGCAGGCCTGTCCTGCCTTCAGTCCTCTTCCTTCTTGGGACTGGCTCAGCCTTGGAGTTTCTGCAACACCAGCTGAGGGGTTTCCAGGAGACTGCTGGCCAGCTTCCCACTGGAAGCTGGATCTCCTGCCTCCTGCTATGCCCCTTGTATTACTTCACAAATTTGCTTCTTCAGCAGTGAGGAGGGAACATAGGGGAAACAAATACGCTACCCTCCGATCCTAGAGCTCTTTTTCAGGGCTGCACATGGCCTCTCCATTGCTGGGTCCTGCTGTGCTGCTGCTTCTACCCCTCTCTTCTCGAGAAAAGATTAACGTTATGGAAGATTCTTCAATCTCGCTCTTTCCTCTGAGACAAAAGTCTTCCTTCTTCCTCCTCCCTCAAGCAACAGGGGCTGGGCTTTGAGGAAACTTCATGTGGGTTACTTCTATTCACGAAATACTCCCTCTGAAGAAGGAAAAGCAGAGCTGCTGTGTATTTGAGTGAAGAAAGAAATGTTATAAAAAGTTGAGTGAGACAAGAGAGGAAATTCAGAGAGATAAGAAGAGGAGGAGGAGGAGGAGGAGGA